AAGTTGGCGTCCTTGTAACCCATCCTTTTGCATAGACCATCTGTTCTCAGCATTTTTCTTCTTTGAAAAATTGGGCAACCCAGTCATAAACCTACCAATAAAGTAGGTCTTGTCGGTGCTAGGACTTGCTCTAACGTTGTATTCCTAAAATCCAATCAACATAAATCCAAAAAATTACGTTTAAGAATTAACCCATACACTATAAAACCATTATCGGAACATCAATAGAGTAAAAAGACGTGAAGATTGGAAAACGAACTCGAATCAAGCGGGTGACAATGGCGCCACATTCGAAGCATTTGCCTTGGTTCTCGGCCATGGTTTTGCCACAAGAGACGCAAAGGGTCATGTGCTTGCAGTTACTGCCGTACAAATCTTGGGAAGATCCGCAGCCGCTGCATGTTGGCTTCAGCATCAGATCAAAAGACATCTTCGTTCCCTCCTTCCTTCGCCTCCAATAGAGCTCTAGGGTTTTAAGCGAATGTTGCAAAAGCAAAATTTGAACAACAACGAGATTACACGCGCTGCTCTTCCGCTGGTTGTAATTGAAATCTTTTGAGAGATTTAAGAGATTGAAATTTCAATCGATGAAGCGAAGCAGGAAAAAATTTGATTTTGGGAGATATAAAGGGAAAAATCTTGTTGCGTTTTCCTAACGATAATCGCAGCGTACACGTGTCCTTTTACTTAACAATAATCGCAGCTTACACGTGTCCGTTTACGTAACGATAATCGTAGCGTACACGTGTTTCTTGAACCAAACGGGCCTAAAGGTAACGTATATAAACTGTCTCTCATTATGAGAAATAGTATTATTGAGTTATTAAATTATTAAAAATTATTAAATGATCGTATAATTATTTATATATTTTATATTTAATATTTTTATTTAAAAGATTATAATAATTTGAAATTGATTGAACATATGATAGTCGTTTAAGATTTTAATATCAGATCTTATTATATTATAGTCAATATGTTAATGTATAAATTAAATTGTGGTTAATTTTTTAATAATAAATAATAAATTTAAAACATATAAATAATCTTATGATATTTTATAATTTTTAATAGTATGAATATTTTATAATAATTTTTAATAATAAAAAACTTAATAGAATAATACCTCGTAATCGAAGATTAGTTGTGTACTTTTCCTATTATGAAATAAAGAGATTTAAATTTAAAAAGGCAAATTGGAACTATAACGAGCCACAATTACCGACAAGCTACCTACGATTTGCGACCATCGGCAGAGCAAAAATGGAAGCACAATGGAGAGACAAGAAGCTTTACCCTCTACTGGGCATACTTTTACTTTCAATCTTTCTCTACTTCAACTTGGCGATAATCCCATCACTTTCCCAATTCTATGGCAATCCCAGATGGGTTTTGTATCTGCAAACTGCACCCATTTCATCATCGTCAACGATGGCGCCTCCGCAGAGAACCAGTCAACGCTCTACGTCAACGGCTGGAACTCTTATTGGCTAATGCAGGAGAGCGTGTGGGCTGGTCCGTCGAGGTCGAGGGTGTCGAAGATGCTCAAGAGAGGGGCGGAAATGGGGTTGACTGTTTGCAGAACTTGGGCTTTCAACGACTGCCATGGGCCTAATGCCTTGCAGATATCTCCCGGTGTCTTTAACGAAAGAGTCTTTCGGGTGAGTTTATAATCCCGTTAGCTTATTTATAGAATACCCTTTTGTTTATTTTGTTTAATTTTTGTTATATTGCATTGAATTGTGATAGGGATTGGATTATGTGATTGTTGAAGCAAGGAAACATGGGATTAGGTTGATACTGAGTTTGGTGAATAATTTAAATAACTTTGGTGGGAAAGCTCAGTATGTGAGATGGGCACAAGAAGCTGGAAGTAATGTTTCTTCTTCAACCGATTCATTTTTTTCAGACCCAATAATTAAAGATTACTACAAGGCTTATGTCAAGGTACTTTACCACGGCCCTTGGCTATATTCTTCAAAGCTCTTATAAGATAAATGCACCGTAGTGAATTGAAGGGTAGCTTGATGTTAATTGAGATCGAGTCATGGAATCTGTTCTTTAGAAGAAATTAGCCTTAGGTGAAACTAAGGTTGAGTCCTTGGCATTTATAACTTTCTATCCGATAGGTCAAGTAAGAAGATAATGGTATGAACACTGTCAGCAGTGGAAGCACTTGGAAAGAAAGTGACCTGCAAGAATTGTTCTATGAATGTCCACTACGTTAGGTCAACTGAAATATTTGATTGGAGGATAAGAAAGTTATCGACTTTACACACGACAGTCAACATGTGTGCTTCTTGTTTGGCTGCAACAATCAATCCAATCAACTGTGGATTTTTTATGTGCATTTTACAGGCTATTTTACAAGAAAGAATTCCTTGAGTGGTGTTAAGTATGTTGATGAACCATCAATATTTGCTTGGGAGCTGATGAATGAGCCTCGGTGTGCATCCAATTCGTCTGCTCACATTCTTCAGGTGAACTAATAGAACATGCTGTTTTGTTATTGTGTTACCATGTGTTTCTGATCTTCTGGCCTGAAGACCTGATGAATAGTTCAGACTTAGAGACTTCTTCATTGTCCTTTCTTATCTCTAAAAATTAGTAGTGTTACTATTTCTGTTATGTTAAATATTTTGATATCTATAGAGCTTGAGAATTTTCTGCACTTTCTTATTATTGTTTTCTTAGGCCGGAATTTCCGTATTCTAAATTTATATATTTGTGTGTGATTCACAGCTGTTTTTTTTTCTTTCTAATTTCTGCTTTATTAATAATATTCCATGGAATACAGGCATGGCTTACTGAGATGGCTGCTTTCGTCAAGAGTCTGGATCAAAAACATTACTGTTGGACTTGAAGGCTTTTATGGCCTCAATACAACTAAGGGACTGGAAGTAAATCCTGGGGAATGGGCAGCCTCACTTGGATCGGAATTTATACGGAACTCGGCAATTAAGAACATTGACTTTGCTTCAGTTCATGCTTACCCTGATAGCTGGTTGTTAAATTTTACTTTCAGTATGTTATGATAATGTCTTATGAATATCATGTCACAATTGTCTGAAAATGTTTTCTAAGTTACCAGCCACGATTGCTATCCATTATCTGATTCGGTCTACTTAGGCCAATGGAAAAAATGATTATGCCTTATAACCAAATTTCAACCCTGTGGACAAAAAATATCATGTCTGTAGAAGTTGATCAGAGCATGGTTCTTGCATTTGAACTATTTCTACATCTTAGATGCATAGCTGACGGTGATGGATGAAAATGGTGTCATAGACCACCAAAGTGCTTATTTCATTTATCATTTTTATCTTCTATTCTATTTATAAATGTCAACATTGATCACTTTATGACTTATGATGCTTTTGTTTTGTTGTAGGATTCCCCATCATGATATGGTAGCAAAGGCTCGTTTTCTTTCCCAGTGGGTAGATGCTCATATTAGTGACGGGGATCGGTTGCTTAAAAAATCGGTTCTCTTCACAGAAGTTGGATCCTTGGTGCATGCAAACAATCAAGGAGTAGCTGACAAGGATATTCTTCTAAAGACTGTGTATGATAAAATCTATGAGTCGGCAAAGAAGAGACAAGCCGGGGCAGGGGCCTTAATTTGGCAATTTCTAGTCGAAGGAGTGGAGGGATACGGTGATAGATTTTCCTTTGTAGCATGGGATAATCCATCCACCTACAAACTGATACTAAAGCAATCATGTAGGCTTCAAAGCATTTTCGGGAAGAGCATCCGGAAACTCAATAATGACCTATGCTCGAGTCAACAGCCTTGACAACAGTTGATTGAAGGTTAGGAATTGAAACATTTAGATTCATTCATTCAAGCAATATGTGTGTAGAAAATCGATTCTTTGCTAGTTAGTTGCCATGCTTACCTGATGTTTTTGAGCAGCTACTTGTTTCCCCTTGAAAATACTTCTGTAAAGTGTGTAAATAATGCATCTTCAATACACCATCTGCCATTCATAGTCTTTGTACAACATTATATAATTCGAAATAATATATTACCACCAAACGACGTCTACCGAACTCCAATTGTAATGAACAATTTTCTCAGAAAACTCACAATAATTTTCCCCTAGAATCTTTGAACCTGGAAAGAACAGTAACGTTCTTTACAAACTTGCTTAGAACCATGTACTCTTCAAGCGTCCTCTCATCAGCACTGCACAGTAGAAGTGGTGGGAAGAAGAGCCAGAAGCCCATAAACAAAACGAATCCAACCGGCGCAGAAACCACCCTAGGGAACCGCCACTTCCCCCAACCGCCTTTGTCACAGCAATCTCTGGTGTCAAACACACTCCATGGAAAAGAAAGAACCACGTGGTTTCCTGTGTCGGCCATATCAGTCCCGTGTAATAGAAAATCAGCTCGTTCATCACGCTCGATACGACAAAAGTCCTGAAAACAGTGGGAATCGGAGCCCACTTACGACTGACGATACATGCAGCCATGTCATGTGCAGGCCCGTACACCGTCGATAATAGAATACTCGTCGCCATAATGTTCCATCTCCTGCCCCAGACATCTTGCAGTGAGGTGGAAAGTTACGGTTCGTTGAACTGTTTCTCCAGCTAGAGACCCAGCATGGCTCGAGCCATGGGTGCCACCAATGCTAGGACTATATCCCGAACATACATGTGAAAAGAATATAGAACAACATGATTGTGGGGTAGGCATACATACGAAGCAACAAGGCAAAAAGTAGAATCTTGATTGCATAGTTTGTGATTGCTTGCTGGCCATTTTGTGCATTTAGAGGCGGGTTTTGTTGGATTTTGATGGACAACCAAGCAATAGCAAGAAAGGCAGGTAAAGAGGGAGATTGGCGATAAAGGGCCCTTTCCAAAGGCGAAAAACAAGAACTTGAAGCTAGAAAGTCAAGTGATGTAGAAAGCAACGATGCTTCCGAGATGTAGGGAAAGATATATTGAGTGGAATATTGCATCTGCAATTCATATTCTATGTATATGTTTATATAGTTCAGAAATAATCAGATTTAAACAGAATGGAACGATGTTTTTGTTGTTTCCATTACAAGCTCTTTTGGGACTGCTTTGGTTTATTCTATTTCATAGGAAACGCACTACAATCTTTGAAACTTGAAAGTGCTGAAGGTTAATGCAGTAACATTCTTAAGAAACGTACCTAGAACCGCATACTCTTCAAGCGCCCTCTCATTGATCTTGCACTGTAGAAGCGGTGGGAAGAAGAGCCAGGAGGCGGTTATTACGAGGAATCCGATCGTCAACGGTGTAGAAACCACCCTTGGCAATAACCACTTCCCAAATACCTTCTTCAGCACAACCTCTACCGTCAACCATGCACCATGGACGGGAAAGAACCACGTGATTTCCCACGTCGGCTGTTCACGTGCCAGGTAGTAAAAAATCAGCTCATGCAAGATGCCCGACACGAAAAAAGTCCCAAAAACCGCGGGAAGTGGAGCCCATCTACGATCAATGAAACGTGCAGCCGTGTTACGGATAGGTTCATACACTGTTGCTTGTAGAATGCTCGTTGTCATCATGTTCCATCTCCTGCCCCAGAAATCTTGCATTGAGGTGGAAAGGTACGGTTCATTGAACTGTTTCTCTAGCTCGAGACCCAACAGGGCTCGAGCCATGGTTGCGGCCAGTGCTAGGACTGTCTCCAGGAGAACATACATGTGAAAAGAATATAGAGCCAATATGATTGTGAGGTGGATATGGTCACTGTAGTCATATATACGAAGCAACAAGGCAAAAAGCAGAATCTTGACAGCATAGTTTGTGATCGTTTGATGGCCATTTTGTGCATTTAAAGGCGGGTTTTGTCGGATTTTGATTGGCAAACAAGCAATAACAAGAAAGATAGGTAAAGAGAGAGACGGGGATGACAAAGGGCCTTTTCCGAAGGCGAAGAGCAAGAGCTTGAAGCTAGCAAGCCAAGTGATGAAGAAAGAAGTGACGAATCCGAGATGTACGGAGAAGATTTCGAGCGGAATGTAAAGAAATAGGCAAATAACTGGTAGAAAACAAAGAAGCCTTGCAGTTCCTTTAGGGATGATCTTGGTTTTACCTATGGAGTAACAGTAATATAGAGAAAAGATGGTGTAGAGCCAAAGGTTGATGAAGTTGTTCATCTCTTTCTCTGCTATTATGCTTGATTAACAAACTAAAATGGTTCATAATCCCTTTTAGTAGGATTAAGAGATCATTTATAACAATCATATTTACCCGTTAAGCATTTAATTTTTGGAGTGTTAAAGTTGGCAGTGGCACAGATTAAGCAAAATGGATTTCCTTGCACGCTTGGGTTTAACCATAATCAAAGCTTGATTGAATCCCATACGATAGTGGAAAGTGAAACCACAAAAACACAGAGGGATTTGCGTACAGCATGCCATCCATCGATATCAGTTGATAGAATATCCCATCTTACTGTTGTTCGAATATCTGCATATAGGCTTCAGAAAATGCGACCATTTGAAGGAGTGTTTCAGAAACACTATGAAAAAAAATGCCAAGGGAAAAATTCTAACCAATTTAAAATTCGTCATAACTCACCTATGTAAATAAATTATTTCTTCACAAAATTGTGACTTGGTTATAGTTTTCGGCTTAATTATTTTTCCATTATAAATTTTGTTTATTTTAATAAAAATATATATATTAATTTAATTTGTGATAAAACAATTATTCCGTCCAAAATAAAAAAATAACTACTTCACATCACATTTAACTTACAACTACCCATCTCCATTTTCAATCCCTATACATAAATATTAATCATATCTAATTAAAACTTATTAATTATCTCAACCCTAAAACCAAGTATAAACAATTACTATTTTAACAAAATTTTCAATCCTCTCATTTCCATTGCAGTTTGTCATCCCCTACGACCAGAAATCCTGTCCCCCTATTTGTTCCCCTTCAATACTTTTCGTACACGTGTCAGTTCTACCTTTTCAGTAAAACTCATGTAAAAAGGAATTATTTCTTTCCTATTTTACTTCAGCTTCTACTTCCAAATCAGCTCATGCAAGATGCCCGAAACGAAAAATGTCCCTAAAACAGGAGGAAGTGGAGCCCATCTACGATCAATGAAACGGGCAGCCATGTTACGGACAGGTTCATACACTGTTGCTTGCAGAATGCTCGTTGCCATAATGTTCCATCTCCTGCCCCATAAATCTTGCATTCAGGTGGAAAGGTACGGTTCGTTGAACTGTTTCTCTAGCTCGAGACCCAACAGGGCTCGAGCCATGGTTGCCAACAGTGCTAGGACAATATCCATGAAAACATAAACGTGAAAAGAATATAGAACCAACATGACTGTGAGGTGGATATGGTCGCTGTAGTCATATAAGCCAAGCAACAAGACAAAGTAGAATCATGATTGCATAGTTTGTGATTGTTTGATGGCCATTTCGTGCATTTAAAGACAGGTTTTGTCGGATTTTGATGGGCAAACAAGCTATAGCAAGAAAGGTAGGTAAAGGGCCTTTGCCGAAAGCGAAAAGCAAGAGCTTGTAGCTAGCAAGCCAAGTGATGAAGAAAGCAACGATGCATCTGAGATGTACGGTGGAAAATTCAAGTGGAATGTAAAGAAATAGGCAAACAACTGGTAGAAAACAAAGAAGCCTTGCAGCTGCTTTAGGGATGACCTTGGTTTTAACTATGGAGTAACAGTAGCATTGAGAAAAGAAGATGTAGTGCCAAAGGTTGATGTAGTTAATCATCTCTTTCTCTGAGATTATGTTTGCTTATCAAACTAAAATGGTTCATAATCTCATTTAATTGGACTAAGAGAACATTTATAATAATCTTGCCGAGTATCTACCCATTAAACATTTAAATTTTAGCGTGTTAAAGTTGGCAGTGGCACAACTGTATGTATCTTTTTGTTTAGTAATAAATCTTCGGGCACTCTTTTCCTCCTTCCCATGACCATTGAGGTTTTAGGAGCTTGATGGTTATGAAGGGGATTTTTAATGCGGCCCTATTCTTATAAAAAAAAAAAGTTGGCAGTGGCACACATTAGGCAAAACGAATTTCCTTGCACGCTTGGGTTTAACCATAATTAAAGCTTGATTAAAAACTGGGATCAGCAATTTCTTAGTTCTCACCAAAATATAAAAATAGAAAGGGATTTGTAACCTTATACAGCATCGCTATCAGTTGATCGAATATCCCATCCTACTGTTGCTGTTCGAATATCTGCATATAGGCTTCAGATAATGCGACCATCTGAGGGAGTGTTTCAGAAACATGGAGATCTTGCATCTCATACCTGTGAAATGTAGATTTGGATGCATCATTCACTCTTTGTAGAATTTCAGTCGCTAAATGAGAAAAAAAAAGAAAGTTACCATAGTTCTTCCGATTTCCGCTGTACAAAGATCCTGTAGAACCCTTCATCAGGCTTACCGTCATGAACGATGTTAGCAATTAAATCATACTTGGTACGTATTTTTTGGTTCTCTTTGGTTGGTGCAGGCAGAGGAATGTAGTCCTTCAACTCGAGGTTTTTCACAGGAAAGTTCACTGCAAAAGAGAAACATTAAGGTGGTATAAAGTAACAAAAACCTGGTCCAAACCAAACCAGATACTGGGTGATCTAACTCTAACACATCCAAGAACAAAAAAAACTCACCCAATGTTGGGTTCTTTTCTCTGAAGAAATTATTCTTAGTAAACCGGCGCACGTGAAGTATCAAGTATTGTGGCAATTTGGTGACTCGATATCTCATCCTTGCTGGAGGACGAACAGTAGTCGTTACTGTCTCACCATCAAACTTCTTCAGTATATTAAACAAAGGAACCTAAAACAATATTCATAAATGAAATTAATTTAGACGCATTAAAAGCATCACATATAACTTCCCCGGTCGGATGCCAGAATGGAAGGGGAAAATGCCCACAAAGCATGAAAAATACCTGAGGTATTATATTTTTCTCCATTACATCTTTGAAAAGTGGTGGTTCTGGCAAATCCAATCCAAGCATCAGAAAGGACATTCTGTATGTTTCAGTCGCAACATTGTTATTATTCTCAATTGCACCATCCATAATCTTTATAGCTCCGTTCTGGTCCTCACCACTTTCTTTCTTCTCACTGATAGCTTTGCCCTGAGTTTCTTTCACAACCTCCAGTTCCCCCTATTAATATCAATGTGTAAAATAAGCACAAAAACTTCTGCTAAACATGAAATAACGAGTGCAAGGTTTTAATTAGAACCTGAAAGCACTTATGGATGATACTGCTACTTTTCTTTGAACTTCTAAGATCTGCATGCAGTGTGTTAAGAAGCCAAGACATGAATTCAACTGGTTCACTCTGCACACCTATACGAAACCGTTTTTTACTGGCTTTCATAACTGCCTGTAGAAACTCATGAGGGCTCACCTGTTGAAACAAGAGATTTGGAAAAACATAAATCCAATGTGTTCCAGAACAATAATCTTGCAATCATAAAAGTATGATCTAACCTGTCCTTTAAAGTTTCGAGCATGCCAAATCTTTCTGGTGAGTTCCCCAAATCGATGAACAAGTTGAGATCTAGAGTGCTTGTAATTCTCAGGGATAAGGAAGAAGTTTCTTAAGGGGGTAACTCTCATTAAAGATTGAATGGTGACATTGACAAAATCGGTCTTTTGAATATTATTCAGCCCCACCTGAAGATTAGCACAAAAAGGAGGTCATATTAACACAAAATGGAATTTTTTAAAAAACTTATCATAAATGAGCGCCCTTCAATTTGAGAAGAGAGGTTATTACCATCCCTGGGAGGTAATCAGAACCATCAAGTGCCCTAGACCATTGCTTGTTCTTGTCAAGTTGCTCAAGTTGTTCTCTCGAAAACCTGCAAATATGGAGCCCAACCAAAACAAGGAAAAAAGTGTAAGGGCTTTGAAGTCTAGACATTTTTTTACCATAGGAAAAATGAAAAACTGAAAGCAAACAATTTGCAAATATCAACTAGTAAAAGTTAATGTAAATAATTTAACTTTTGAGCTAAAAGCTCTAATGGGGGGAAAAGAAACTTTTTGGATAATCCACAGAAAAGTACAAGCACATTCTGCATACAAGCTAGATATCCAAAAGTTATATAACGCCCAATGCAATCAAGTGAAATATGAGCAAACCTTGGGTTTAGAACATAGCGTATATCGTCCAAAGATGGGTCATTAATTTCATACCCATCAGGGAGACAGTACACCTTCTCTGTTCGAAGATTGATGTAGACATGATGCCCAGCTTCTAGACTATGAGTATATGCATGGGATTTCTTCCCTCTTCCTTGGAAATACTTCCCACAGACCAGGCATGCATAAACATTCAAATTCGACAAAGAGACCGAACAAAACTTCTCAAAATCAAAATCCAGCACCTGTAAAACAGAATACAATAAGTAATTGGAAAATTACAGTCATTCAAATTTTAGCAATTAAAATTAAGTTATTTACCTGGCGATTAACAGTATCAAGGTAAGGGCAGTCTCTACGCACTTCAACCTGGCGATTTGGCCTCCGAAGAATTGATCCTTGCCCAAGTGGATCATCATCATCTTCTTCTTCCTCTTCACTTTCAACTCTTTTACCATCTTCTTCTCCACCGCCAGTGGGATTCAATGCCCTCCTTTCATCATCATCATCATTATAAGGAACAAGTGGCCCTTCAGCAGGTGAAGATGGTGAATCCACAACCCTCTGTCGTTTCAAGTCCCGTTCCCCGTCTACACTATCACTATATTCCCTTTTTGCTTTCATCTTTCCTCCTTCACTCTCGGTTTCTGCTCTTAAAACAGAGTAGCTTACATCAATTAAAATAAAATCGCCTATAATCTTCAACAGCAATTGTTTACATAAAATAAAAGATACAAAAAACTATTCATTTAGATGCTGAGGAAGAAAAAAGCAAAACTCGCAGCCAACTATCTAGGGTTCTTATTGAGTACCCCAAAAAGATCATAGCAGCAAAACAAAGAAATTAGAAAGTTCCTTTACTCTTTTCTTCTCTAATTCGTATTTTATTGAAACGAGAGCGATATTCAACCGTCCAATCAATAAATGCGTTAAAGGGGAGATGGGTTAAGGAGATTAAACCATGGGTATCAAGGTTTCTCAAGCAAAATAATATCAGCAACGAAAACATACCATATTATAAATTTCATTTTTTAACAAAAAAAAACTATAAGAAGTGAGTTCGACGATGAACCTGAAAGAGATTTTCTACTTAAAGGGAAAAAAAGCTCGAGTTAAATCATTCACTGCGAATTGTTTCCGGTCTGCGACTATTCAAGGACACGACGACAGGAGAAAAGAGTAACTTAGTTTCGGGTACCGAACTTCAAAGGCGGTAAGATCCGGCGTTCAGCGAACCTTAGATTATCCAATCCACAACC